CTGGGGCATGAACTAACAGGCTGAGCACTGTCCCTGAGCTGCTGCTTCTTCCTTTTTTTTTTGGTTGTTGTTGTAACTGTTGGTCACCGGGCTTGAACTCGGGGCCGGGGCGCTGTCCCTGAGCTCTTTAGCTCAAGGAGAGTTCTCTACCACTAGAGCCACATCGCCACTTCCGGGTTTCTGGTGGTTGATTGGAGTTAAGAGTCTCACAAATTTTCCTTCCCCGGGCTGGCTTTGAATAGCGATCCTTAGATCTTAGCCTCCTGAGTAGCTAGGATTACAGGCATGAGCCACCTGCTCCTGGCTCCCTGAGCTGCTTTTTGCTCAAGGCTAGCACTCTACCACTTGAGCCACAGCGCCACTTCCGGCTTTTCTGTGTATGTGGTACTGAGGAACCGAACCCAGGGCTTCTTGCATGCTAGGCAAGCGCTCTACCACTAAGCCACATTCCCAGCCCATCCTTGCTGTCTTTTGAAAACTGTCTCAGGACCTTTGCAACTACTGGCTATTCTATTTTGAAGTCTCTTACCCATGACTCTTTTGGCCCACTCTCTTCAGACCATCATTGCATGACCACCTCTCCTGCTCTGGATGGCTAAAGTTGGCATGAGTGGTCATATTAGCCATTCCTACATAGCAAGCTCAGCCAATCCCCGGCCTAATAGGGAAAGGGAATTTGGTGACTGTTCCCCGCCACCCCCTCCCCCACCCTACCCCACCGCTGCGAACCAAATATTGTGGCACCCAATAAGTAATCTTTCCAGAGTAGCAGATGATACCAAGTACTAACAATGGGAGTTCACCCTAAGGGAAGCGACTATAACTAGTTCCTGTGGGCAACCTGGCATCCTGACCTGGCAGCCAATTCTATGGAAGTTAGCTATTTGGGAATGGAAGAACGGGTAGCAATGGCAAAATCGGAATGTTCTCGCAAGCTGCAGGGACTTGAAGGGCTCTCAGACTGCCCAGTCTTCTCCAGCCTTCCTTTCATTCTCGGTACTGAGGGGCGAGGTTTCCTCTCTGTCATCTATCGCTCGGTGTTCGCCCCTGGTCCGCGGGTCTGGCCCGCGCGTCCCATCGATGTGCTCGGCCATCGCGCGCCTGCGCCTTGGGACTGTCAGCGGCAGCGTGGGGAGCGGCTGCGACGCGCCGGGAGCTGAGGTAAAGCTGCGGCTCGGGTCTTGCCAGGAGGTGTCCGAGCTGGCTGAGCCCGGGTGGGTACTGGAGAACCCCCTTCGTGCGAGAGAGGCGAGTCCTCCGGGTCAGGACCTGCAGCCGGTAGACAAGGGGTAGTGAGCCTCGAGGTCGGGAGCTGGAATCCTTGCCGGAACCGGCCGCGGAGCCTGGGGTCCCTGCTCAGACTGGAGGGGGCGGGGGTTCGAACCAAACACCTCGAGCAACAGGCGGAGAAAGTGAATCTCGAGGAGGAGAGGTTCTGCTGCAGGTCACCCTGAGACCACACCAGACCTGAACTCCTTCATTTATCCAACCCACTCTTTAGTTGTTTGACTCAGGGCGTTGAGGTACCGGTAAGGTAAGGACCCCCCCCCCGCCTCACGTGGCGCCGCGTGGACGAGGACACTGGTGGGCCTGTTGTGGGCTCGTTCACCTCCTGGCAGCTGGAGCTGTCAGAGAGTGCTGTGACCCAGGCCGGTCTGAGATGCCTCTCCTAGGTTGCCGAGAGCATTTGAACATCAGATCCCAGCGACCTGGGTTCTAATGCCTTTCTGCACATATTTGAACTTGACCTCACCTGGGGCTGCTGTGAGGTTCACAGATCCTCATTCTACACACAGTGAGTACCTGGCATCTGACTGAGAATTCAGGGATGACCAGCCCAGGCCCAACCTGCAGGGAACTCACTCTTAGACATTCAGACCTATACGTGCACTGAAGTCTGTCAAGGCTGGTATACTTCTCTAAGTGGTAGGGTGGAAGCCCCTAGGTTCAGCAGCCCCTTGTTAACTGGGTGTGAGAAGGGTTGGATGGCTTCATGGGCAAGATGATTGTTGAGCAGTCTTACAAGTTTAATAGTGGATTAGCGGGCATAGGAGAAAGGCAATAGAGGGAACAGGAACAGTAGTGCAACTGTGCATGGTAGCACAAGTGTAGTCCCAGCTACCTCGGATTTTAAAATAAGATGCTTTTTTTGAGCCAAGAGTTCCATGCTGTAGTGTGCTTTGTAATCAGGTGTGAACACTTAAGTTGGGTGGTGACTTCTGGGGAGCCAGGGACTACCAGGTCCCATGTGCTGATCCATAAGTGGAATTATGCCTGTGGATACCGCATTCCAGCCTGGACGCCTCTTAAATAACAGAAGGAAAATGATGGAAGCAATGACATTGATCAAGATACATTGCCCTCATAGACTGACATGAAACCCTTTTTGTAAAAAAGAAAAAAATAGGGCTGGGAAGATGGCTCAGTGGTAGAGTGCTTGCCTTGCATGCATGAAGCCCTGGGTTCAATTCCTCAGCACCACGTAAGCAAAAAGAAAAAAGCCGGAAGTGGCGCTGTGGCTCAAGTGGTAGAGCACTAGCCTTGAGCTG